AGGGAAGGGGAGATAGAGACTGCAGGACAGCACTGAGGGAAGGGGAGAGAGAGACTGCAGGACAGCACTGAGAGAAGGGGAGAGAGAGACTGCAGGACAGCACTGAGGGAAGGGGAGATAGAGACTGCAGGACAGCACTGAGGGAAGGGGAGAGAGAGACTGCAGGACAGCACTGAAAGAAGGGGAGAGAGAGACTGCAGGACAGCAGTGTCACACAGAAGGGGTCACAGGGCAATGCCAAGGGAAGATGTAGCACAACAGACCAAGTCAGGCTCCAGGGTGATACAAATGGAGAAAGTGTTCATTTCATTTGTCCTTTTACATTATACTGTGAAGAAGGGGGCGCCATTTCTGAGATCCTAGCACGGTCGCCATGGGGCCGGCAGAGTCACATGACCTCATTGACCCGCTCCGGGCCACACCTGGTATGGGCGTCCGTGGGAGAAGGGGGACTGTACCCAGGTGCCCGGCATAATGACGGGCCGCTAACTCCCGGAGAGGCTGACACATGCCTTGAGACTGTCTGCCGATAGCGGTACAGACAGAGTCCCACCTTTCTTCTGTGTTTGTCCACAAACACGCTCTGGCAGCGAATGAGCAGGTGAGCTCAATGGCTCAGGGAGGGTAATTACCGTTTAGCTTGTTATTTAAACCGACTGCAGCTCTTACGGAGATGATTATGTTTGTCTTTCTTTAATCCATCCACAGATGAGGTAAATAGGCGTGTGGAACTTAAGACGATAATCAGCTTAATGGTGCAGAGATCAGATATTATCAGATAAATTGTTGAGATACTTGTGATCTCAAAATGATGGGAAAATGATTTGCCAAAACCACGTTCTTGCTCTTTAAGTATATGAACTGAACACAATCAGTTGTCGGGGGGGCTTCAACGCACAGGTTTACCTGGGCTGAAGTCCAGGGGCCTCTCTTAAAATGAAGCGTCAACTAACCTTGTCTAATAACAACCATTGTTTGATTCAATTTATTTGTATATAGTGCCTTTCACAACAAAATCGCGCTGAGGTGCTTACATGAGTGTGGAAATGAAGTATTCATCATTTACATTGTTTATACAGAATGCAGACACTCCCTGGTTACGATTACATTCCGATAAATTTATCGTAAGGTGAAAATATCATACAGTGAAAATGTATTTTAATACGGTACACCTAACCTGACAAACATCATACCCTAGCTAACTTTAAAACATGCTTAGCACACCGCCATTAGCCCACAGTTGGGCAAAATCATTAACACAAAGCCTATTTAATAATAAAGTGTTAAATATCTCAAGTAAATTACTGAATAATCGTGTCCGTCAAAATATCGTAACGCGGACCATCGTAACCCTGGGAGCGTCGGTTATGCAAGACACAAGGGATAGAGGGAGGAAGGAAGGAAGAATGAAAGGAAGGAAGAAAGCAAGCCAAGAGACAATAGAAGAGGGGAGGGAAAAACTAATAAAAACAAACAAATAAATTAATTAATTAAAAGTAGGGAGGAAAAACCCCTGGGAGTCCTAGATTAACCAGTAGCCCCCCGCCCCCCCGCCCCGCTAGCTAAAAGCACAGTGAAAACTGGAGTAACGGTCAAAGCCAAAGTCCATCAATGACTCAGTTCCCTGTGTCGGTTCCCCCCCCCCCCCCGGTTGAAAACTACACCATTGTAGAAAACAGAAAATAGTAGGGGGGGGGGCTTTGAGTGTATTAATATGCCTCTGCTTGTTGCCTAGGAAACAAAGTCACGTTCTGACTCTGGAACTGTACCATATATTGCAGACTGTTTGACAACACTGCAGAAACGTTATTCTCCTCATGCTGATAGACCCTGGGCCTCTTCCCACCCCGAGTTCATCGCCGAGGACCTCGGATAAATAAACTGTCACCAGTTAACCGGTCCGGTTCTGAAAAACGGCTTTATTTGATCGCTCGCACCAGTGGTTGCCCTGCTAGCATGAAACTGCGCCCACGCAGGCCGTGAAATGCAGCCCGAAGAGGCTGCGCCGAGCCCACGTGGACGAAAATACTGAGAAGTAGCCAGAGAGAAGTGGGTCCCCACGTGTCACTGCTGTAGTGGGGGCCCGGGGCTGCGGAAAAGCACTGGGCGCGCTAACGAGAGCAGCACGCTCCTCCGTGATTAAAAAAGAAAAGTCAAAAAAGGAGAATAAATGCAGAAGTAACAGCAACACAGAGGATGTGGGTGACCTTATAGGTGACATTGTGAGCCAGAGAAGTTGTTATTTACATAACTGCAGCATGGTTTGTGATAAAAACACACATTACGAAAGTGCTCTGGGTTTTGTGTCCTATACGGACAGAAGCAGGTGCCTCGCGTGAACGCGGAAGCATGTAGAACGACTAAAAGGCTTTGAGATTGAGGGAGATGCCTCCCCGGACGGGCCGTGGCGGGTCGACCAGCCTCTTCCTCCACCCAGTCCTCACTGTTTGTAATACATGCAAGAGTTGCTGTTATAACCATGCTTGGGATCAGCCTCCCATTACCATGGTGCTTTGTCCTCATTGGACGACCGGACCACTTGTCTACAAGGCTATTGGTCTGTCTTGGCACAACATTGACGGGGTGGGTCCTTGTCTCTATGTGTGGCTCTGTGGGACAGTCTATAAGAGTCGCCCTGTTTCAGGAGGGGTGGAGTGTCAGCACCCCCTGCCCTCCAACCTCAGAGGCCCTGCACTTGTTGGATAGATCTTATCTAGCCCTAAATGCAGCCTCCTTTTCTTCTTCCTTCCTCCATTTTCCTCCATAATGGCTCTCCTCCTGTTTGCTCCCTCTTACCCTCTCATCCTCCTCTCTCATATCTTCTCTCTCTTTCTCGCTCTCTCTCTCTCACATGTCTTCTCACGGACAACCCAGAGACCTCAGCCACCAGCTCACCAAAACGAAACTTCTCGAAAAATTTAAAAAAAAAAACTGCATCAGTATTAGCGGCTGCCATGGTGACGGGGGGCTTCCTTTACTGATTAAGGTTAAAAGTGGCGGGCATCTAACGAGAGCGAAAAATGGATGTGTGTCGCAAAGTGATGCTGAGGCGGACGCTCTTGCAGGGGGTGTCGCCCGGCCATCGTGGGCTGGAGGCAGCACGGCAGCCCTGGACGGATACTTCACCAGGACTTATTGTGATGCTGTTGTGCAACAGTTCCGTCGGAGGGAGGTACAAGAAACAGCGACTTTTCTCACATTCACTTTTTCCTCTTATGCCACACCATCCAGGCGACAAGAATGACACCTGGGACATGAACAGCGCCCCCCCCCTGTATGTAAACACGACGCAGGCTGTGACGGAAACCAGCCAACTGTCTCCCTCATCTACTATCCTGATCCGCTGTCCTCGGATCCACTGGCTTTGACCCTCTTCCAAACAGGCCGACCCGAGGACACGAGGCCCCGCATGACTCCTGGCTCGACGACCCCACCCCCGCTGAGTTGCGCAAGAGCGACAGATTCGGACGCAAAATAAAGCTGAGGGCTGAGGTAACGGTCGGGTGGAGGGGGGGGGGATGGGGGAATGGAGAGAACGAGACAGTCAAAGAACTGAATTTGAGGCACACGGAGAGAGACACGAGGTCTCATTTAATCATTACCTAGTAGCTAACTGCCCCACTGGGAAAGCACTGAGACACAGGATCACAGCGAGCAAACAGCGACCGGGAGTTACCTCGGGGCAGGAGTTACCTCGGGGCATAACAGACCCGTGTCCCCAAGGGAACGGGGACCACGAATCCGGCCTGAGGGGTACAGCCTACGAGTGTGACCTGCACGGCGGGCTGAGGTTTGACGTGACCACACAGCAGACACGCTTACACACAGACACACACACACACACACACAGACACACACACACGGGCACTCACCATCTCCACCTGCCGTGGGTCCAGCGGGGGTGTCGGTGTGGCTGGCACTGAAAAGTGTATCTTCTTCCTCTCCTTCGCTTGCCCCCCCTCCTCTGCCGGCACTGATGGATCCATGAACCTCTTTGGGTCACCAACTTTTAGGGGGGGGTGGGGAGCAGGTTTGGTCCCAGTAAAATGTCCCAAGCTGAGTCACGGGTTGAGAGTTCAGTCCCAGCTCCTGTACACCTCTCCTTCCAACTTGCCTCCACTCTGACTCTCCTAATGCTCCTCTTCACTCTGCTTTGATGACTTCTTTCTCTCTTTCTCTCTCTTCCTCTGCAGCACGTCTTTATCTCGCACCGTTCCGTAGCATGCCTCTCAGTGCTCTCTCTCCCACACGCTCGCTCTTAACCTGTACCGCAGGAGGGAACAGGGGGCGGGGCTAGGCAGGGGGGGGGTGTGTCCCTAGACCTGGCAGAGGGAGGGCAATAGAAATGAAGGGGCAGGCACAGGAAGGTGGGGGCGGAGAATGTACAGCGAGAGAGGCCATTCCTCTATATTTAAGCTGCACTCGGGTTTTTAATCTGGGGGGGGGGGGGCATTAATCTTACGACACGTGCTGAGCCTCCTGTGACCCGCGTTTGGCCCTGAGAGATTTGTGCCAAAAAAAGTAATTGTGCCGTCCCCAAGGTGCCAGAGGAGTGAAGAAATTTCACAGATGAAGGAGAGAGATTGAAAGATGAAAGTCGGCGGGAGCCAGAGAGATTGTTTTCAGCGGAAAAGCACCGTGCCTGAACACTGAGGCCATCCAGATAAACTCAGCACACCGCAAGATAACCTAAATGCACATTAGTTTTCAATGCATTATCTGATTATATCTGATTTGGGGCATTGTGATGTTGTGCCTGTATTTGGAAGGTTGCTGGTTTAAATCCCAGGGTCAGCAGAGTGATGTCACTATTGAGCCCCTGAGTGAGGCTCTTAAACCCCAGTTCTCCCAGGGATCATGTGATCCTACTTTTTCTCAAAAATGTACGCTGCTTTGGATAAAAACGACTGCCAACTAAATAACAAATCAATTATTCATTTTGCTAAAATATTTTCCTTTTATTTAATTTCTTTTATTTGGGTCAGGAGCTAATCTGGATAGAACAGGCTGGTATGTATGCAGGTTTCTGGGATAAGCTTTAGGCCAGCTGTTCAAACCCAGGTGCAAGGACTCGTCGGCCAATCAGTCCCCTAATTAGTCATTTAATTAGAGAGTTGCAGCGAAAACCCGCATACACAGCGGCCCTTTCTGGATACGACTGGCCACCCCTGGGATAAAACAATCTTGATTTTAAACTAGTACATGAATTGACTGATTTACCCATCCATCCATCGCTTATCCTAGACTGAGTCACTGGGAGTCTATCCTAGGTGGCACAGGACACAAGGCAGGGGTTTATCACAAGGGGTTTATCACAAGGGGTATATCGGATGACATGCGCAGTCCATCGCATGCCACACTCAGCTCATACTAACAAGAGAGCAATTTGGAGACACAAATTAGCCTCACTGCTTGTCTTCGAACGGCAGGAGATGATCGGAGGTCTCAGAGAAAACATACGCAGCGCAGGGTGGAGGCAGCCGGTTTAAGCGACACATCGAGCCGGGGGAGGCTCAGACCCCTCACTGCTGGAGGTGCGAGGCAAGAGGACCACCCACTGAGTCACTGAGCCACCCTTAATTTAGCATGTTTTAGTGCAATTATAAGATCTTTTTAGTGCATAATCTACAATTCAAACGGCACAATTACATTTGCCAGTGCAGATAAACTCACCAGCAAATGGAAATCCTGCAGGAGGCCCCGGCGAACCCTTCTCAGTGCACGATATGCGGCGGAAATAGTTTGGAGATGAGGTCACTGCCCTTAGGCTAGCGCGATGCTAATGCTAACCAGTTTCGGGGAAGCGGAGGGAACGAGACGCCGGCGGCCTGAGCGGGCCGGGGCCTGCCCAGCGTCAGCGCCGACCCAGACTCATGCCGGGCAGGTACCCGGGCAGCCCAGCAGCCAATCAGAACAGCCCTACGGTCAGGATGACCTGGACGGGGGGGAGGGGACTGCGGTGGCTCTCAGGGGACAGGCTGTTTATCAGACTCCTGCATGTCAGGGTTTGGAAGCGATTTCAGCTGAACACAGCCCTGACCCCCATTGGTGCCGGATTTCCGCCGCCTCTCCAGTGTCTGCTAAAGGCAGAAAGCCACCCCAGTTAGCTAAATGCATCCATGTGAACAAACCACTGACCAGGATCCAGCTACACAGTGCCTTCCTCTCTCAGGAAGTGTATCTCCCTCCGCTCTTATGCAGAACGCCCGGGAGCCAGTGAGAAACATCTCACAGCTTGTTCAGATTTAAGGCACCGGGGGGATGGGGGGATGGGCGGCTTCAACAGCTGTGAAAAACTGACCGACCAATCATCAAGAGGGCTGCTCCCCATGTGACACCTGATCAGCGCTATCCGGTGTAAATCCAGTGGGAGGCCAACCCAGAGCGGCACTGCAACTACGGCTCCGCCCCCCAAAGCTGCCGGAAGGTTCACTCGCTTAATTTTGTGACCTAGCAGGTGTTCGCTTTTAGCCAGCGCTAAACCTGCACACCTGAAGTAACAAGACACACAGCAACAGCCCCATTCATAACTACAATCTCCGGATCCCCTCATATTACCATATTTGATTTCATTCAGGAGAGTAGTTATAGATGAATGGCATATATAATATAAAAAGCTATTTATGACATAAGCAAATAAATACATATAACTATTTAGGGGGCTAAAGCCCCTCTAAAATAGGCCTAATTACACCTCTGATTTCATTGCTGGCATTTTAGGATGTCTGTGAAAACAAAATTATAATTACAAAGCTTAGATAGCAGAATGGATAATACTAACTGCATATGGTCCAGTGTAAACATTCCTAACATCCATTGATTTTCAACTACCTTTTCTCCGTCTTGAATCCCACTAACCTTGTGATAAATATATTACGGAGATGCGGATCACATTTTATCATTCTTATATTGCATTGTCTTATATTACACTACTTGTTTGTTCTAAGCCCCCGCTGCAGCTGTGGCACAATAACTTCGTTGTGTCCCTCCGAACACGTCTGACAATAGAACTTGAAAACTGAAACTTGATGAGTGCTGCCTTCACTCAACTGTTGGTGTCGGTCTCCCCCTAGCGTCTAGGCGAGCAACTTCACCGAGAAGTAATATAACGAAGGAACGATCGGTCGAGGTTATTTTTCACACACCATCTGCAAGCATTGAATTCCACATAGTTCGCAAACATTATTTTAGCTATTTCGGAGTGTTAGAACATCACAGCAATACTTTCAAACGATGTAAAATGGAATTACACTGAAAAGTTTAACCAAATAAAATATATAAATTATGCACCGCCAATTTAACAAGTAATATTATGAGAAACAAAATTCAGGATCTATGATGCTCTGAAACGTCAGCAAGTCCTACTTCCAATACTGTTGTGCTAAAAGTAATCATAAAATAATTGCAATTTTACAGCAAACCGAGAGTGGAGCTAGCAGTGTTTGAACAGCAGAGGGCGCTCATCTTCCTTTTATCCTCCACTGTAACGTAGTCCCGGCTTGGCACACCGCGTGCGCCTTCCCTGAGTTCTTTATAAAGAGCGTTGGAAGTTATGTGGCATATCGTAAAAATCGTATTTAAAATCGACTGTAAACCTTTAAAATTCCTCCCAAACAGCAGTCTGTTTAAAAGTCATTTTCAGTATCCACAGGAAAATCATAAAGAAATGCACTGAACTTCAATTCTAGACATTAAAACCCAATAAAAGTGAATGCCAAATAAGTAAGAACTTCTTGCTTGGGTCCAAAGTGAATTCCAGTCAACAACGAGTTATTGTTTCATTAGTTCAGTCAAATGATGTGGTAAAACGTTTTTTAAAAATACTTAGTCAAAAAAGAACTGTGGAAAACAGTAGAGACAGAAGGGTTATGCATAGTGAAAGACGATCTCCTCAGCCAGCTTCGATAAACTCGACTATCTCAACCGAAGTATCCACTCTGCCACCAAACCGCCGCCGTCGTCAAGACGTGGAAGGCACCAGTCTGTCTGGAAGAGAGGGGGGACGCTCGCAAAGTGATTTAATTACGGCTCTCTCCAGCCCCTCAATCAAACCTTGTTCATCAATAATGCATGGCCCCTTGTTTCTACCGCCTTAATTAATCCACCGTCACTATAATTAAAAGCCCAAAATCCCACAAGATGGTTCAGCTTGGCCAGGCATCGCTGGCACTGGCGCTGATGAAATCCCAAAGCCAGACCCCCCCCTGTGGACAGACATAAGGATGGACTGACTGAATGTGCCACATGCTACAGAGTCGGAGTCATCCCTTTATGCTATAAATCCAGCCGGTGCTGACGCGTCTACAAATTACAGCGACTTAAATTCATTTTATTGGGCAACGTAACATAGTCACTCATCAGTCTATGTTATGTTGGTTCCGCGCAAGACTGAAGAGGAAGGGAAACAAACAAATAAAGATAAAAGAAATAAATAAGACGTTGTTAGTATTATATTATAAACTACGTTAATTCCTCCGATTTCAGATGCCAAGAGGCACTACTGACATAGAACTGATAAGGGCATACTCATCACCAAGAACTAGTAAACAAACATTTCTGATAAATCATGAAAATCAAATGTATTAGACATACTAGGATAGCAAATATGCCTAAAGAAAATCCTGGTCACACACTCATCAACTAACTCATAAACCTTAAAAACAACACATACATACCGCCTGGCTGTCAGTAGAGTGAGGTGGAGCTGCAATTAGGCCGCACTGTCTCACCGAGCCGGCAGGAGATGAATATTTCAAACCGGAGATCTCGGTGGACACCTTCGATGGGGTCCTGGCACACCTACAAGAACACACGCAAAACAGGCAACTTCCATGGCTGCCAATAGTTATCTGTGCCATTAGTGATGTTTTTAAATATAAAGCAGTGTTTATTTCCACTTGAAATCACAAGAGAACCCAGAGCATAACAGGTTTATTGCTGTTAACAGTAATGATGCTGCATGATAAACAGGGAGACAATACAGATTTACACACAACAATATCACAGTACACATGTAGTTAAAAATGTATCACCAATCATAAAAGATCAACTTGTTCTGTGCTGAATTTTGTCAGTGGGGCGACTTTACCCAAGCGTGGCACAATATGCAGTAGCACCCTCACCAGGATGCACCAGTGTTTCCATGGCAACAGATGAGCACAAGAGCACAAATGCAAGTTCTAAGATTTCATCCGGGATGCGACGTCGGTGCAGTGCACCGCGCAGTGTGCAGTCAGGGGACATTTCAGCACTGTGAGACCTTCTTAAACGTGTCACACTGCAAGACGAGCATCAGGTG